CCACTGACATCATTTAGCAGACCACACTGTAACAACACACACAGCAGTTGTACTCGCACTCAAAAATCATTTGCTGTGGCTGACACCACCACCCTCAACAGAAACCACACGCGCATTTTGTCATCACCCACATGTTATGACAATCTTTCCTGTTTGCTCGACTGTTAGTTATATCGTTGGAAAAGACATCTCTAGAGATCAGCACCTCTTGGATAGGGACCGCGGTTCAGCTTTTCCCTGGCGGCTAGCACTCCACAATGTTATAAAGTGAAGTGACCGAGCTATGTTACAGTCACCTGTCTATAAACGACGCTTTTGGCATTTTCCCCCTAATGGGCTTTAATCGTAGGTTTATACCATTATACGGTTACATACTTTATTTCATAGGTTTTACTGATAAATATTATACTACACACAACGAATACTTCGTCGGTTCTCTGGTATATACAAGATACAGTCACCTATAACAAGACAAGCAGATGCGCTTCCTTCCCTTCTGCTCAGTGACCTACCAAAACGCAGAATATGCGCCACTACAACAGATCTTTCAAATATGCCCATCAGCAGATAAATAACCACTACCGGTCGAGCAAAAATTAAAACCTAAAAACCTGCTTGACGGGAATAGCCGCACGCAGAGACTTACTTGCTCATTGGGAAATATCCAACACCCCCTATACAGTAGCACACAATGAAAATTTAATGATGCTCTGCTCTGTGGACATATCGGCTCCACCTCACCCTCCAGTCCCGTGGTGAATTATCCTCTGGCATCGCGGTTGGCGTCTTTACCAAGAGCCCAGTTCTGTGTGTTAATTACTACACCCCGGTAGTATGGCTACACACTATTTTACCCCTGAGTGCTCTGTCTTAGTGCAACCATATCTGCGCGAGGTGACTGAATTGTTGGAACTTGGAATCGGTTGTTAGAGCTAGCACGCGCGCGTCTCCACGACTATATGTACTTACTATTACCCGTTGGGTGCTCACTCGTTTTCGCTGCACATACTGGGTGAATTGTTGGACGGGAAGGGTGCTTACGAGCTAGCAGGTCCGCGATGGCCCCACTCCTTGACTATACGTCTACTACTATGTACCGTGCGGTTCCTCTGCTTTCTGTGCACATACTGGTGTGAATATGTTGATGAATGGGTGTTAGAGCTAGCAGGTTGTTTGATATACGTACATCATTACCCTTGTGGGAACCCCCTGGGTGCTCCCCTGTCTCCGCATGTGCACCATACTGCGCGGAATTGTGTAGATGGCAATGGGTAGTTAGAGAGCTAGCAGGGTTGTGATATACGTATCTCTAATATTACCCTTGGGTGCTCTGGTTTTGTGCACATACCTCGGCCGTGAATTGTTGATGGAATGGGTTGTCTCAGATCGCTAGCACGTCCGCCCTCCACTACTCCCGGCAGCCACCCCGCGGCGGCCACCCGCGGCAAGGTCGGCGGCCTCAAACGGCCGGCCGGGACCCTGGGCAGGGGGCGCGCCCCGCACACCAGCGGCCCGGGTAGCCGCGCACCTGACGCTTCCCACCACTGCATCCACCGGACGTGTATTATACGTACTATGCAGGCAGTAACATCCCAAATGAGGGAGAGCTGCTCGACAACAATAACAATGGGAATTCGTGCATTTACTAGCTTATAAACCTACGATTTACATACGCGTTAACGCCAACCAAACTTGAGCTCAAATCGTACACAGTACATCCTCTTCACCATCGTCGTTGAATCGTTTTCCAGTATACAACCCTCAATCGGAATCAGACTAAAACGTTACCACACGCATTTTTCGTTCTACGTTGCCAGCAAAAATCCATGCTGGCGAATAAAGCTATTAAACAAAAGGCAGCTACTAGACCCACACTGTTCCAGGGCTTGCGGCTTTATTCCCCCAGTCCATTGGCCGCGAGGCGCTTGGCCTCCAGAGCCCGGCTGATTAGGCTCAACGCAACACTTCTGCAGAAGATAAACCCTTGCTTTGACCCCTCATTCTACAGGCCTGCGTATGCACCCCGCCCCACCGCAATCAGCAGCAGCTCCTGCCAGCTCAGCGGCAGGCGACCGCTTCGCGCTCGAGAGCCACCGCCCGTGTATAACCGACCGCACCACTAGCACATCATGGAGTCTATTCAGATAAAACAGCTAATCTTGTTGTTAGGACTCCTGCCTCACGGTGCAATCTCCCTGCGAGCCACAGCGCCTCGCCGGCGCCGCTATGAGCGCAAAGCCCTGGACAGTGCGGTTGTAGCTGCCTTTTTGTTTCAAATAGCTTATTCGCCAATCTGGATTTTGCTGGCAACAGAACTGAAAATCGTGTGTTACGTTTTAGTTCTGTATCTCCGAGATTGAGCGGTGTATACTAGAGGAAACGATTTCACACGCATGGCGAACGAGAATGTACTGTTGCGTACGATTTGAGCTCAAGTTGGTTGCCGTTACGCCGTAGTAAATCGTTAGGTATTATAGGCTACGTATGACGAATTTCCCTTTTTTTTGTTGTCACAACTCCTCCCTATTATGCTATCCTGCGGTAACGTATATTTCCCTTGGGTGCTTCGTGTTTTGTGCACATACTGGTGTGATATTGTTAGATGATTGGGTTTCGTTAGAGCTAGCAGGTGTGATATATGTACTATATTACCCTTGGGTGCTCTGTTTTGTGCACATACTGGGTGAATTGTTAGATGGAATGGTGTTAGAGCTAGCAGGTGTGATATATGTACTATATTACCCTTGGGTGCTCTGTTTTGTGCACATACTGGGTGGGCAGTAACGCCAGCAGGTAGAGAGTGAAGTCGGTAATCCACTGGAGTAGTTGCTGGAGACACTGCAGCACCGACGGCTCGACGATGTATTCGCGTGCCTTGGTCTCCGTTGCCTTCACTAGCGACAGCATGCTGGTCAGGTCAGCCTCCGACTTGTTAGCTCTCATCAAGTCTGAGGAGACGCAGCGCATTCATGTAGCCAGAAAGACGTGCACGCACGCACGCACGCACGCACGCATGTACGCACGCAAGCACGCACGCACGCACGTATGCACGTACGCAGGTGAACATACACACACGTATGCACATGCACACAGGTGCACATGTACGCACAAACGCACGCACGCATGCATGCACGCACACATGCACGCACACAGACAGACATGCAGGCATGCAGGTGCACATGTACACACGTATGCACGCAGGTGCACATGTACACACGTATGCATGCAGGTGCACATGCACGCACACACGCACGCAGACAGACATGCAGGCATGCAAGTGAATATGCACACACGCATGCATCCACGCATAGACGCAGACAGACATACAAGCATGCACACACGTGCACACGCAAATAGACATGCAAACTCACACATGCACGCATATACGCACGGACATGCAAACTCACACAGGTACGGACATGCACTCACACGCGCACGCACACACACACATGCACGCATGTGCACATGCATGTATACACTCACGCACACATATTTACTGTACTCACACACACACGTGCCGACATAAACGCATACACGCACGCACATACCCACATGCACACACACGCACGCAGCACGCACGCACACTGGTCAACCAATGGATCATCATAAGGTAAAGAGACATAAAATGACAGCTAGCTACGCGTGTATGAGGAGACCATCATAGGTATGCGTTAGGCCAGTGTTTTTCAACCACTGTGCCGCGGCACACTTGTGTGCCGTGAGAGATTGTCTGGTGTGCCGTGGAAAAAAATTGAAAAAAAATCAATTGTGTCTTTCTTCGATTCCTGCCAGGATATCAACTCTGTGTTCATCCAAACAGGCCCAGGTTTCACACTGAGTGGATAGAAATATTATATTTTATTATAAAATACTTTTTCTTTGTGTTTATTTGATTCCTATTCAAGACACTTTGATGAGAATGACTTTATATTGTGAATATAGGCCACAGAGTTTCATTTTTTAACATTTTCTGTTGGTGGTGTGCCTCGTGATTTTTTCAATGAAAAAATGTGCCTTGGCTCAAAAAAGGTTGAAAAACACTGCTTTAGACTGACTCAGGTTCTGAACCTGTGGTCCATGGACCCCTTTGGGGTTTCTGGATGGGCTTCAGGGGGTCCGTGAACCAGACGCATGCAAGATTATTGTTTATGTGCTTAGGTGCATTTTTCTGGGAAGGGGTCCATAGCTTTCACCAGATTCTCAAAGGGGTCCATGACTCAAAAAAGGTTCAATTGACTACGTCACGAATTTTCTATGGTGTATATTTGTAAAAAAAATTTGTTGCAAGTTTTTTACTTGAAAAGTAAGTACTAACAGGGCTAAATGTATCCTCAAATTCTTACCCAGATAAGATCCAAAGATCCAAAAAACCTGGGCGATTTGATATATTGATCGTGACATTAAATGCTTGCTATGGGCTATGTATAAGTTACGTTACGAGGGTTTGTTCACATCGAACGGAATAGCAAAATAGGAAATATAATGCAGCAATTTTACAATGAAAAGCGGACAGAATTGATTAAATTGTAAGTGTGAAAAAGTGTATATAATTTGTTTACTTTTACGATTTACGATTTACAATTACGTAATCGCTTTAAGAACCACTGCATTAGAGCGAGAGCAGACGAGTTATTGTCGACATACTCGTGAGTTTCTCCACGGGACCTTTCTCCTGGCCGGAGAGCATTGAGCCGATAACAAATGCCATTTCAGCATATTTCATTGGAACATGCGATGTAGTTTTATCACGCTAGTGCATTCTATTTAATACGAAAACTCTGTGAAGCTGCTATTTGGTTAAATATAATATTCTACTCGTGAATAAAAGACGAAATTCGATTGCGATGCGGAAGGTACCAGGTGTCACTATACTGGATTGTTCGTGTGATAAAAATTAGTAGCAAGTAGCAATTGATTTATTAGAATGTTGCTGCGTGCGTTTGTATCAATGAGGCAGACATTCTACTCTCGCATCTGCCATGAAATGCTTTTATGATGCATTAAAAACAACGTCGCGAACATTTCGCTGACATTTCTACGATCAGAAATTCTGCTTCGACTAGCTCCTCCGAGTTACACGCTTGTCAGACGCTTCTGCTCGTTGTCAATGGCAACGCCCCACCCCCGCTCTCGTCACACTGATTGTGTTAATGCGGGCTGAGATTGTGTCTCGTCTGACGCTATCCGCCACTTGTGTACATACACGCCTGCTTCATTTCGGCTAGAAGCATCATGAATTTAGGTGCATAGATGAGCGAATAAATTTAACATAGATAGGTGCATAGATAAAAAAAATTTAGGTGCATAGATAAAAAAAAATAGGTGCATAGATACAAGATAGGTAGGTGCATAAATGAAAAAAGGTCATAGAGAAAAAAAGGTAGGTGCATAGATGCAAAGATAGGTGCATAGATATCAAATTTAGGTGCATAGATGAGCGAATAAATTCGATGATATGCCATTCAAGGCACCATGGATAGGTCTTCGTTAGCTCTACACAACATCACATGATTATGATTAGTCACCCTACACTGTATAAGACTCCACGCTCCTGGTACAGGACGAACTGTTTATTTCGACACCTATGCAGCGTACCTTATCATAAAACCTACCTGACATTGTCATTAACAGGTAGCATAACACCTACCTGGCATTGTCATTAACAGGTAGCATAACACCTACCTGGCATTGT